TGGCTGTTCTCCTCCGGGCACTGTGCCCTTCTCCCAACAGGCATTGTGCCGTTCCTCAATGTGCCCACTACTTGGGCTGGTACATGGGGGCACGTGCTCCAAATGCCATATGCAGGAGGGGTAAGGGGCTGGCCAGCAGCCAGCAGGGCCAGAGTCTCCGGGTGTCTGGGGGGACTAGTGAGGAGGGCCTGGCACCGACAGCAGGGGTCCTATCCTCCGCTCCGTTGCACTCACCAGTAGTGGCAGGGGAGGCAGAGCAGTGTGGCCCTCGCTTGCTCTGCTCTCCTGGCACGTTGCTCGGAGGAACTGTCTCTGCATTCACTGGCAGGAAGTGGAGCCCTGCTGCCAGCCCCACTAGTCCCCAGAGCTGCATCTCTTAGGAGAGGGGGCTGGGGAAGAGCAAGGGTGGGGGAGGCAGGGACTGGGGCAGAGGGAGGTTGTCCCGGCCCTTTCCCAGGCTGGGGGGGGAGGGGGAGGGAGAGTCACATGGCCAGTGACCCTCCATGACCCCCTTGCCAGTTGTTCCTGCCACTACTGACCTGAACAACCAAGAGCTGGGCCAGAAGCTGTTAACAGGAAACTGGGTGACCCCACTCACCGCACCCCTGTGAAGTACCAGTGGGGAAATAGGAGGGGAATGTTTATATAGTGTTTTGAAGATGCAGCAGTGCTAGGCAGTATTAATTGCATGTAGCAATTGCAATAGCAACAACTACTGGGCTAGCCAATAGCAATCCATCCGGCATAGTTTTAGGAGAGTGTTCTGCTGGAAAAGGTGGCATTCTAGAATGAACACACCCTAAACCTTCCTCACATCAGCGTAACCCGTCTGTCGGACTTTCAAGAGATAGTCAACCAATTTCTAGTCCTGGGACCAGTCTTATGGTTTTACTCAGCAAATTCCTCCTCAGTGTAAAGGACTGGCAGATTTGTTGTTTATGCATAGAAGAGAAGCTGTGAGGACTGAGAGGAGCAATAGAGGTTACCAGATTACCAATATGTAGGAAAGCAAACAATGAACTGGTTGCACTGGACTAATAGAATTAATATGCCAAAGCAGAACAAGCTTCAGGCATTTCCTTGACTAAAAAAAAAAAAATCACAGGCAATCAAAACACCCTCAGTTAGGACTTAATCTCAACCCATCCCCTCATATTTCACATGGCTGCAACTGAGAGTATGTAGTGCCCTAAATCCTGAGATTCTGTTCAGTGCAAGAAACAACTGTTAGGAGCGTGACACACTCCTACTCCATCAGCCCATCCTCTCCCTAGCACAGAAAACCCACAGGTACCTAGTGATCACAGGAAGTCACTTTAGATTGAGGGCTTCCATTGTTTTTGAACAAAACAGCCTTGACATAGTTATACAGCAGATGAGTAGGAGAGAGGGGACTTCTTCATTAATTGTATCTGCATTGAAACTAGTAGTCAAGGATCCAAAGTACAGCATGTTTCACCTTGTTCATAGGATTAGTTGGATCAAATGGTAGAAGATCCCACACAGGCACATTCTGTACATAAAACTTTGATTTAATAAATAGCAAACAAAGATTACAAGTCTGGAGTGGAACCATGATGAACCTATGAATAGATTTGACTCAGGATGCAATTTAACTGCTCAGCTATTTTACAATTAAGAATTACACTTGAAAGAGGTAAGAGCTTCCATGGACCCTCATGCTTTTGTCCCAGCATTCAGAACAATCGGTTCCAAAAACGGCTGTGACTTGACACGTCACTATTTCTCCAAAAGGATTTGAACATTTTTTTATGTACAATTTTTAGTATTGGTCAGTTCAACAAAAATACGTAAGAAGGAAGCCTCACATATTATTCAGAGATTAAGAGGTCATTCAGCCAGCTGAGCAATTTCCCAGCTGTAGCTGATAAATGCACCATTTCTAGAATTCATCTGTCTTTATTACTCCCTGCCAGAGAGGTAAATGAGAAATATAGGATTGTCTGTCCAGCAAACACCGGTGCTGTCCTGCAAAGGGACAGATGATTTACTGCTGCAATGTCAACAAAGGG